CTGCAGTAACCCAAAATGTGAGTGGTTGGGTGACTTAATTCGTTGGCAGGTGTCACAAGTTTTTTATAAAGTCACTGTCATCTCTTCTCATTTGTTTCCATGTAAAAAAATGCAAGAGACAAGCTTGAGTTTTATGAATACCAGCATGGTCGCCCACTAGTGAGGAGTGGAACTCGTGGAGAAGAGACAAAATCAAGGAAGAGTCTTCAGGAACATAGAATTGATTCTTATGGAAGAGTAAGCTAACTTTAAACACCGAATCCCCTATCTCTGTTTTGGATGGCTATATCCCCCCTATTATTTCTGTAGGTAAGGATCCCGCTGTAATTCATCATGTAAAACAGAGGCATAATGAGAAGTTGGTCCATTGAGGGCCGCCAATTGAGAGATTGAGGGCTTCTTCTCCCCAAGCACCTGCTGTGACAATCGTAGACGACTATATTAGTTTTTCCTGCCTTATATGTTATTGTGTATGAGTAACCGAATAGTTTAGCTAGAAACTTATGTTGTTTTGGCATTTGAATCACATGCGACATCAAATTATAAAAGCTTTTGTGGTCCGTTCAGATAATATATTGTCTCCATTTAGCTACACTGCAAGTAATGACATGCGTTTCACGAATGTAAGTGGATTGAGCTTGCATTCTGGGTGATAGTTTCTGGCTAAAGAATGCCACTAGACGTCCTTTTTGTAAGAGAATCACACCAATTCCCTGGCCGGATGCGTCAATTTATAACTTAAATGGCTTGGTGAAGTTTGGCAAGACCAAGATTGGAGCTAAAGTAAGTTGCTGCTTGAGAGTGTGGAAGGCCTATTGTGCATCGTCAGACCAGTGAAAACCTTTGTGAGATAAAAGGTCTGTTAGAGGGGCAGCCACATGGGCATAGTTACGGATAAAACGACGGCAGTACCCCGAGAACCCAAGAAGAACCATGACCTGAGAGACAATGGAGGGAACTATCCATTCGATAACTGCTTAGACTTTAGACGGGTCAGGAGCAACTCCCTTGGCTGACACAATATGACCCAAGAAATGGATTTCTGGAATGACAAAAGAACATTTGGAGCGCTTAGCAAATAAAGAATGATTTCAGAGAGTGGTCAGCACCTGCTGCAAGTGATCTGGAAATGATGGGTTGTACACTAAGATGTCATCAAAGAAAATTATCACAGAGCGACGTAGGAAGTCAGCAAAGATATGATTCATTGTCACCTGGAAAGTAGAAGGCACATTTGTGAGGCCGAAGGGCATCACCAGGAACTCATAGTGTCTTTGGTGGGTGCGAAAAGCTGTCTTATGTATATCAAAAGGGTGCATAAAAAATGCCATGTCCCATTCTTTTTTTAACTAATAAGACCGGAAAGCTGAAAGCTGATTGGCTAAGCCTAATAACTCTCGAGGTCAGCATCTCTTTAACAATCTTTTCAATTTCGGTCTTCTGGAAATGAGGTTAGCTGTAAGGTTTAACTTGGACCAGTTTGGCGTTGGGTAGAAGGTTGATGTTGTGGTTGGTAGGTCTAGGGGGGAGGTAAGGACAAGGGAATGGCAAAAACATCTGAGTATTTGGTTAGAAGGAGAGAACGAGAGACACGAAACTGAGCACTTCCAGATTTTTATTCCTTCCTTTAAGATTTTGAAATTAAATTAGGGTAAAAGTGAGTGAGTGCCAATATTTTTTTATTTTCTTCTATTTATAATGGAAGGGTGACCAAAAAATATTTCGAGTTATCGATTTATTTCATAAATAATGAAATTGGTAATTTTCCTAGTAATAATAATATTAAATTATAAAGTAAAATAGAAATCCCTATAAAAAGCTTTGTTCTGGGCTTACTCCTTTACTTGCGTTATCTTATGCATTTTGTTAATAAACCTAGCTCGGAAGAACTCGCTTCTCTCCTCTGGGTCAGGTGTGTGGTCAGTATGGGTGGGTGAGAGTTCAGGAGAAGCAGTAGTAAGGCACATGTAACAGGTTGAGATAGAGTCTAAGGCGACCATTTTGTTGATATGAGAAGAGGAGACAGTGTCAAGGCTGGGGTTAATGTCTCCTTGCAAGGTGATTGGAGTATTGTCAAATTGGAAACTCATAGTGAGACGAGCATAATCAGTGACCACAAGTCCGAAAGTGGTAAGCCATTGTATGTCGAGCATAATATCAACTCCCTTGAGGTCCAAGACATATAAATCCAAAGCGAAGACATGAGATTGGAGGCTTAGTGGTATCCCATAGCAAGATGCCCTGTAGGATAAACTCTCTCCATTACCAACTTGTACCACAAATAGGTTTATACTGCAAAGAGAAAGACAAAGAAATGTGGCCATACGTTCGGTAATGAAATTATGAGTGCTTCCACCATCTATCAGCACTTGCACTGGTTTGCTGCCAATAAAGCAAGTGAGATGAAAAGAACAAGCAGAATGATGGCCAAACAGATTAAAATTGATTTCAGATGGTGGATCATGCAAGATTGGGGAACTCAATGCAGGTTCAGGTAAATGCAGGGTGTCATTTGGCTCGTCCTCTGTACCTTCCATATATAATAATGTGATTTTCCTTTACATTTATAGCCAAATACATAACACTCATCATAATTATAACATAGATTTTTCTCTCTGCGAGCCTGCATTTCAGCTTGGGTGAGTCATTTAATAGGTATGGCAGGAATGGGATTAGTGGGCTTAGGTGGTGGACGAGTTAAAGGGGTAGTGGAATTCTAGGTTTGAAAAAAAGGTTTAGGTGTCCAAGGTTTCTGGGATTTAGCATCTGTGAATTGGTCCTCATAAACCTTAGCCAAGGCAAATGCCTCGTGATGATCATTGGGGCGATTAGTTAGCATAGCCCGTCTAATGTCAGGCTTAAGGCTTGAAATAAAAATGTTGTGGCGTAACATCACAGAAAAACTTGGAACGCGGCAAGCCAGCTCCTCAAAAGAAGCTTGATAAGAAGCAACATAAGCTGTCTTTTGTAGTTTAACAAGCGAGCCAGCAATGTCGTCGAATTTAGAGGGGCCAAAATGACGATGCAAGCCAGTGACAAAGGTGTTCCAATCCGAAAGTAAGCCATAGTTGAAAAGGCCCTGAAACCAGCAAGAGGTGGGTAAGTCCAAGTGGAAGGAAGCCACAGTCAATCGTTCTGCATCGACACAGTTGTTGTAGTGGAAATAATGGTTTGCTGCAAAGATCCAAGTAGATGGATCGCCATTGGAGAAGCGAGGGATGTCGAGTTTCAATTGGCGAGGATGAGGGGTTCATGAACCAACACCCAAAATGCTAGAGTGTGAAGAACCATCAGGAGGGTTAGGGGTTCCCTGGGATTGTTGCAATTCCATGAGCTGCACAATGTGCCGGCGAAGAACAGCGAGCTGATGATCTTGAGATTCCTGGAGCTGGGTATGAGATTCTTGCAAAGTGAGGTACTGCTGCTCGCGGAGCAGTTCAGCAACACTGAATTGCTGCTCCAAATTCCCAAGACGTAGGTTGGGGTCACGGAAGCGTGTGTTCTCTGTCATGTGAGGGTGAGAAGTGATGAAAGCACCAGAATGTAGCAGCCAAGTAACAGAAAGAAGAAATGAGAGAGAAAGAGAAAGAGAGAGAAGATTCAACAATTGTGTTATGCCTTTCATTCATGACTCCTCACACTTTTAACATGATCAGCTGTAATAATGGGCTTACAATAAAGTAAATGGACTTAATACTATATTTGTTACTTTCTCAGCCTAGTCCAGTACGTAATCCGTCAAATAAGATGGGTTCTTAGTAGTGCATTTGGTCTTATTCTGAATTTGGCTCACAACAGTGTTTTATTCAATTATCATTCACATGTTTCTTTTATGTTTGTCATTTATGTGTCTTTTATTTATGTATCTGAATATATAATTGTTATATAGATAGTTGCTAAAGAAAATAATATTATTATACTAATAGTTTGATTTATTTTATTTTAATTTTATCTATTTATTTGTTTAACAAATGAAAAAATAATACTTAAGAAATCAAAATAATAGAAATAAAGCACCATTAATACATCTATTTATATTTTATAAAAATAAGAACTTTATATCAACTAATTCTAATTTAAAGTAAATAAGAAGAATGCTATAGATAAAAATAAAAAATAAAAAAATAATAAAAGAAGAATGCTAAAAATATAACGATGATCGTCATAATTTTTTTTTCCACAAGGAGGCATTAAAACTTGTTTTTGGGCAACCAATTATGGTAGATGTGGAATTGTGTGTTTTATATTGTTCAAATATCTCATTAGCTTGTTCAGTTTTATATTGTTTCTCACTTCAATTTTTTTTCTTTTTAATTATTGCAAAGAAAATATTTAAAATTTCCACTTTGATTTAATATTTTACCACATTTATCCTATTGTATTTTTTTAATCACTTGCTTTTCTATGTTTTTTATTTGCTAACTAGGATAAAATAGATAAATTAATCCAATATTTAACTTAAGTTAATAAAGGTGAACTTGACGAAGAAAAATAATAGAAAATATATATATTCAAGATCTTGGAACAAACCACGTTTAATTTTTTTTTATAACTTTTCTCTAATAATACTAAGAAAAATGTTATATTTATAAATTTTTTATGCGGATGGATATACTTATCACAAAAAAAGTTTATCAACTTTACAACCAACCTAATAACCGTTGATTTCCATCAATCTAACGGTTATAATTTATTAGAAATTATTGTTTGTATTTATTAACTAATTATTAATTTCCAATAAATTATGATCGTTAGATTGATGGAAATCAACCGTGATTAAATTGACTGTAAAGATTTTTTTTTTGTGGTAAGTATATCCTGTCTTATTTTTTATTTACAAATTCTTACAAATTACACTATATTTTATCGGTAAGATATTTTTACGACAAATCTTACCATTAAAATATAGTATAATTTGTAAGTTTGTAAAAAATAATTTGTAAAAAAAATATTTGTTAATATAACCATCCTGTAATAATAATATAATATTGAGGTTTAGAATTGAAGGGTTTAGGAATAAGGTCAGTGCGAGGTTGAGGCTTTTGTAAGAATGGGGAAGGAGGGAGATCTATGGGACGATTCAGCTCTCATCAATGCCTTCGACCACGCTGTTTCTACTTACAAGGTTCTCTTCGCTCTCAATCCCCTTTTTCTATTTCTTTATTCTTTTTTTTTTTCAATTAGTTGAGTTCCAAATCATTTTGTAACTTTACTTTTTCGCGAAATTCGGTGTTAATCTGAGAAATTCACAACTTATTCACAGAAAATGCATGGCAGCAGCAAACACAAAGATAGCTCTGCTGAGGCTGAGAGAGTGATCGATGAAAATGACTCTAATGTTGAGACTACAAGGTAGAATTGAACTGGCGTGAAATTGCTATCATCTTCATATTTATCAAAAAATATCAAATTTGATTACCAAGTTATGCATAAAGTTATATTTCTCAAACATGTAGCAATCTGTCTCTGTTACTATAGCCATTGGAGGTGCCTCAAGAGATGCTGTTCCCTGGACAACTTAATTTTTGTGTTATATAGTTCTACTATTTATGTTGTAAAATCGAGCCTCTTTGCTTTTCAAAATAAATTTTAGGCATAAATCATCATAACCTAAAACAAGATGCCACCAAGAGAAAAGGTATCTCTAGATGATTGTTGATGTCAATGCAATGACAGATAGGCAATTCACATTATAAGGCTTAAAATACGCAAATTTTTTTATTTTTTATTTTCCAAACTGGATGAGCTAAAAAACACCAGGTCTTTGGTTATCATCTTTTATGTCTTCCTCGTAGATATTAGTTATCTGGGCCTTTTTATTTTATTTCTCAATTTTTCACAATCTATTTTGCTTTATTGAACACAGGGATGCTGACAAGAAAAGCAATATTCCAGCTACTGATGTTCCTGATTCAGGTGAGACTAGTCATGCGTCAAAGTTTGAAGAAAATGATCATGCGGGTTCACTGGTAGAACAACCTTGTCTAGATTCAACAAGTGGTCAAGACATCCAAAATGCACATAACGGTTATGCATATGCACAAGGTGTAGATGATTATAATCTGTTAGTTGGGCAGTACTATGAACTTGAGGAGAAAAGGCTGAAGATTTTGGAGCAACTTAATCAATATGCTGGTTGGAATCACCAATATGTGGCTACTGTTTCTAGCTCTGCTGTACCATATCCGAATTCTCAAGATTATTCAATGTCTACATACCAAGTTTCTGATCCAAATATAGTCTGTTCATGTTGCCCATGTTTTAGTCAATGTCCGTTGGCTCCATGCACATCAGCTCCTGGTTGTTCTCTGGGTGGACCACGTGCTGGTAAACCTTGTAACAATCATACTGTGGAAATGGATCATAAAACGTTATTTCCTTGTGAAGATGGTAAAATCCGTGAAATGGCAATGGGAGCAGCAGAGAAGGCATTATCTACTATTAGAACAACCATTTCTGGTGATTTTAATGTAAATGAAGGTAAGCATGTCTACCTATAAATAGACAAGTGTATGAATATCTTAGTTGCTGTCAAGTTAACTGAAATTAGTGAACAATATTGCCTCTCATGTTTTTGTTCTTAAATGTATTGATTCTCTCATGCTCATAAATGTGTTTTTTTGTGTTTAATATTGATGCTCTAAGAGCCATTTTGTTGCAGCAAGGAGAAAATAATTTCAAGAAAGTACCAATTTTTTCATTTATAAAAAACAAGAAAGTGCCAAAATAATGGTTTTATAAACACCTTTAATTGAGTCAAAGCTGGAATCTTTTCTTTCTTTCTTTTTTGCATCAAAAGGCTACTTTTTAAACCTCTCAAACTAAAATCCATTTCAATTTTCTTTTTGTGATCTTGGATTTATTGTGCAACTGTAGGGCCGCCGGCTGATAATTTAGATGCATATTTTGTTAACTTTGGTGCTAGCATCAGCTGAAAAACTTTTTTGATGTTTGTGTTATATATTGTTTTTTTATTTGCCATTGTCATTTAATTTGATGAGTTAAGACATAAAATTCTAATTCTGATGTAGCTATCATAACTTGTGATCACTTCATGTTTATAAAAGAATGCTATGAACTGTATTAGTTCCTGTTGGATCTTAAATAATTAACATGCTGCATTATTATGCCTTTCTTTCTTAGGTTTGGTTCACTTGGTTAATAAAACTGTAACAGGCAATAAATGCTTCGCGTCCACCTCCCTTTCTGTGTTTCATCGGCTTTACTTTATTGTCGATATGCATGTCTTTACTTCATTACTATCTAGCTTTTCTTGGGTGCATATGGTACACTATATAATTGTGATATCTGGGTTTGTTCCATGCAATTCAGAGAAAGAGAGAAACAATTCTGAACCTGAACAAGTTAATGGTTCAGAGTCTGACCTTACTGCTGTTTTGAATGCTTGGTATTCTGCTGGCTTCTATACTGGAAAGTAAGTGTTTATCAAAGTTTTATTTGTGATAAATTTTAGTACATTTTTCATAGGTAATTGATAAGATTTTTTGTTTATTTTAACAAAATAAATATGGTTTTCTGGATTGTTTTGGTATTTGGTTGACGAAGCTCTTTAACCACCGTTTTAGTCAAAGTCAAATGTAATCTCTGCTGAACTTTTTTTTTAACATATAAGCTTTGGGAAGATAACCTCTTGATATATTGCACTGTCAAGTCAAATTAATCTTTATGCCTATCCTCTACTTGTTCTTTGCATAATGATGAGAGTTATGATGATAACAGGTATCTTGTTGAACAATCCATTGAAAACAGAAGACAAAAATAAACTCCCTATATCTTCAAGTGGAGGCAAAAAGTGTTTATACAAGTTTTGTCAGTATACTAAACAGTTAGGTAATTGATATACACTTTCACATCTTTGGGAAATCAGAAGAATGCTGGTATTTCGATCTAATTGGAGTTGCTGGCTTGTTATGAATTTTGATTCTTGCTGCAAGTTTTTGTAGCAAGATTTTACTGGACATATTTTAGGGAATGATTTTTCCCTTAACTGCAGACATGAATATGTTGCCCGAGTTTGGTGTTGAATGCCAGAGATCTTAAAATGCACAAGTCAGTTTTCTTAGTTGTTTTATATCTCTGTTTTCATGGTTGACATTAGCCAGGGAGGAGTGATGGCTTGACTTTTTGTTGCTCATTTCCTTCTTGCTCATTTCATAGTTGACATTGTAGCACACAGTGTGTTAAAATGTACTTGCTGGTCTATGTGATGGCATATAGAAGCGCAACCATGCATGCGTTAATGGCAAAGTTGAAGTAACATAAGTGCATATATATATATATATATATATATATATATATATATATATATATATATATATATATATATAAGCAGTTCATCTAAAATCCAATTATTCCGATTTAAGTATTGTTATACCTATATAGGAATTGGCTTTCCCAGCTTTTTTCCATTTCCAAATTTGAATTTGAGACTTTTCATAAGGGAAATGTTTCTTGCCAATAGTTATTAGTTGGTACACCAAGTATCGATTTGCAATATTTGTTTCCAATTTACGGTTCTGAATTGAAAAACTAAAATGGGCAAATTACATGATATCACCCCGTACCTAGGTGATAGGTGCTTTTTCAAAAAGCCACCTTGTACTTTTAGGGGGTGTTTGGTAGGTGATTTTTAACGTGAAGAACGAATGTCTGGTAAGTAAGGGAGGGGATTTGTGAAGAACGTGTTTGGTAGAGGAGTCTCACAAATAAAGCAAGGCAATGGCTTTTCCAATGAATCTCTGAAATCAGTGTGAAATTGGCTCCAAATCACTGTTTTAGAACACCACCTTGGAGGTGGTATCTGAAGAAAACTAGGGAAGTGATCTTTTAGGCGCCAAAATTATTATGCAATTGCCCCTCTCCAGCTACCTCTCTCCTCTAATATCCGTGCTTTGTTCATGCTAGCTGGAACCAGACAGATGGAACGAGAAAGATCCATGGGTCATGCAAGCCGAGAGAGCAACTGTATAGCTCACTGGATTTGGCTCGAACCCTTCCTTCATTGAATTGAAAAAACTCAGGAGGCTCATCTGCTTGCCCATTAAAAGCAAAACCCAGAATGATTGAGTTCCACGAAACCATGATTCGCTGGGGCATTCTGTCAAACATTTGACGAGCAAGCTCTATGCATCCACATCAAGAATACATGTCTATCAACGTGTTGGAAACTCTCATTGTCCCTGAAATCTTTTGTCATCACAAGTCGATGTGCCCACAAGCCATGACCGAGTGCACCCAAGTTGGCACACGCAGCAAGAACAACAATAACAGTTACATAATCAGGGGCCACACCAACTAGCTGCATTTCCATGGTTGAAGACTTGAAGTGTTCATAGAATAGACTCAAAAGCAGTAAATCCCATATATCGAAGAAACAGAGTGTCATAAATGAATTGAAATTTGGAAGCCGTAAATTCATAAATCTAAGAATTGGATGCGCCACAACACCAAGAAACTGAACTTCTCCAACATGACAGAAGGTATGCGCCACAACAGTATCCAATAAATGAAAACAAGATTTGGATGCGCCACAACACCAAGAAACTGAACTTCAGTCAACTCCCTACATGACAGAAGGTAAAAAAAAGGGTCAAAAAGAATTATCCTAATATCACCATATTCAGTTTTAAAAGAAAGCATAAGAAAAAAAAAAACAAAAGGGGAGAAGTAAATCTACGAAACTGGAAATCAAATAAATGAAGAATGTTAAGTCTGCTTGAAAACTTCAAATTACTTAGGCACATGCCATATCTGACTAAGGCTTTATAACAAATGCCTCCATTTGCAGATTTATAAATTTGATCAGGGGTATTTTTGAAATTTTATCATATTTGCCCATCAATCTTTTACTTTCGACCACTACCAAACATCATATTTGACTAATTATATTTACCTGGTTAAATTTTTTTTCTTCTTTATTAAACATCTCTTTAATTAAATGATTTCCCACCTTACAGTATAATATTGAATTAATTAAACATATTTATTAGTTTTAAGACAAAATTAACCTTGTACCTAATCACGACATCCATAGCCGCAGCCTCCGCTGTCATTGCCCGTCCATCCCGTGTTAAATAATAATAATAAAAAAACCGTGATCGCATTGTGTGTGATAGGAAAGCCATCCTCAGTTTGGTTCTACAAATAGGGCAGTGAGGGTGATCAAAAAGCCATGTGTAAGCGCATTCCAAATGGAGCCCGTGGTTGCAACTTGCAACCTGGAATCGGTCATGCCGGTTGCTTGGTCCCATCTCGTCGAGGCACATGGCGCATGCTGTTCCCATGACAAGCTATTTTCCCGTGATTTTGGGCAATTTATCAAGCTCCGAGGGGAACAACACCTTACACGAGACCGACTTAGCCGCTAGCCTAATTTCGGGCTGGTGGGTTGTGACATACCACAAATTACAAAAGGATGTAGATAATGTAGATGGCACCAAATAATGGTAGTTCAATTAATGTCAGGGAAGTAGAATATAAGAGTATGTTTGACCTTTCTCAATACCGTTTTTAAGAGGAATTTAAAATTTTAATCTCGAGACTCGTTCCGAATCGGATTAATCGCAAAGTAATAAATTGAAATATTTCAAAAAAATAAAATAATGGAGACAACACTCATTAGCAAGAAAAGCGTGAGAAGCCCGGAATCAAGCAATTTTTTTCAGTTTTGGTAGTGAAGGGGATATATGGTGATGCCAAATATGCAGCATATCACTGAATAAGGAGGTTATGGGAATTGGCAAGAAAACAAAAATCTTGGTTGATGGCGATCACCATTCTTCTTTTTCATTTAAATAAGGATGGGCAGTAAATGGTGGTTGATGACAAAAGGCTGAGCAGTTATGGTTGTGGTAATTAAGGATAGAGTTAATTTTGTCTTAAAATTAATAAATATATTTAATTAATACAATATTATAATATAAAGTGGGTATTTGTTTTAATTGAAATTACAAAATAGCTTTTGGAAAAAGCAGCTAAGGGGTGGTATCATGTAATTTGCCCAACTAAAATCTGGAAATTGGTCTTGTTTGTTTTACAAGATGCATGCCGCTAACAAAACAACACTCCAATGTGGGCTAATAGTACGGATACTAGAATGAGTTATAATTATAAATACTCATGATTTTTTTTTTCTTTGAAATCCTTTTTTACATAAAAAACAGTTGTTAATGCTTCCATTAAACCTTATTTTACATAAAGAGAATGCTTCTATTAAAATGAGTTATTAAAGTGGGGAGCTCGTTTATTATTTTATTTATATTTTTTGCTTTCTTTACTTGCTTTTTTTTTTAAAGGGAAATACCTTTTTCGGTTCTCAGCAAATTTCACGATACCCGCTTTAGTCCCTAGCAAATAAAAAGGCTATTTGTGGTCTCTAAGAAATTCAAAATGGACCCATTTAGTTGAAATCGTGGTCCCTCACAAATTCAAAAAAGACCCACATTAGTCCCTTAAAAAGACTAAAATGAGTTCACTTTGAATTTCTTAGGGACCACGAATAGCCTTTGATATTTACTCTTTTAAAAATTTGCTTACTAGACATACTTTTATGTTAATTAAGAATTATGGCCATTTTTTAATGTCTGGTACGGACCAAATACAGCAAGCAAGATGAAATAGATGCTTTTGTACTACTTCTCGTTTGACTCCACTTGTGTGTGGATCATACCCGCATTTTTTCAGCAGCTTCCTTGATCTGGTCAATTGTAAAAATACCAAAGAAGTCATCGTCTGTGACACCATTGATAACAGCCAACGCAACATCATCAACACTGATAGGTGGAGCCAAGAGTAGATCAGATGCTGGAAGAGAGCTTAAAGGTTTGGTGAAGTTCTCTGCTGCTCGTAGAATTCTCTCTGCTGGTTGACCTACCAAATCCAAAGGAAGCTCGAAACCATCCACTCTCCTTTTCCCATATATGAAAGCAGGTCTTAAGACAATACCTGAAGATGTTGCAATCTAAGTGAACTGTCAACAATGCAAGTCAACAAAAACAGCAAGAGCTATCCATTTAGTTAGTTAGTTAGTTAGTTAGCATTGTATCCTTCAAAAGCATGATATTCATCTTACATACATCCTATTGCTGGATCCTCAATGATTTGTTAAAGATAATCACTTCAACCAATCGACTCATTTGCATATCAGGTGATGCTATTTGCAAATAGGTTTAAGCTGAGGTCCTTGTGTACAAAACTCAAATACCAATTAGTTTCAAGATCATGAAAGGCATGGAATAATTACCTGAATTGGGGTATTTGGAGAGAACCTCAGATTCTGCTTTCCTCTTTCCGGTGAAGTACCCAGATGAAAGTAAAAATGATGGTAAGTTGTAATCATGAACTGAGATCAAGATGAATTTGGGAATTCCTGCAAGGCAAAAAAAGGGGTGAGAATTGATATCCAATGCCTTCTATTATGGAATAGGCTTATAATAGTCATTCATAACATTTGATGATTGTTCGTTTCCAGGAACTGTGGTTTACTGGGATTTTGGGGAATTAATTAAAGGATAACCTTAATCTAGGAACTTAACTGGTTGAAAAAAATCATATTTTGTTTACTTTGGACAACTTTCTGCAATCATTAGAGCATAAAGTTATTAATGTTTGGTTGCACATACAAATTCGAAGCATCATAAGGAAGAAATATCCCAAACAGAATGTACTTCATCCAAAGACATATGCACTAAACCAGATTCTGTTTGGATTTAACTAGAATACAAAATAATGGCTTACAGCAACTACTAATTCAAACCAACCAGCTGAAACGTGAAGAAACATTGCAATGTGCTAAGTACTTTTGCACAAAACGAACTTGCTGAAGAATGGGAAAGAGCCTATGGTTTTTCTGAGGTAACTGATAAGTCAAAGTGAGCTGCTCATCAGTCCACATCAAACTATTTCCTTTATCTTCCATTAATTCGTTGCTTAATAAACGCATGACATCAAAGACACCATTATTACAATTAATTATCAAAACTCACACTCTTGCTCTTATTACTTGATCAGATTTTCAGTCACAACTGCAAATAATGTAGATTGAAATTAAAAAATATTGTTGTATGTGGATTAATTCCACCTATCCTTCATCAGATCCATAAACATTCTCAAGAGAGAAATAAATCATAGCAAATTCCAGAGTTCAACCAAGTTACAGATAAAGAGTAGCAGCTCTTTAAAAACAGAACTCTAGAAATCACTTTAGGATCTAATAACATACTTTTCTTGTAAATAATTGTAATCTACTTGACGTAGTGATACTATCAGACACTTCAATGCACTTCACACTTCAATAAAGCAGGACATTAGTGGTAATATATGATGATTGGGTAATGGAAATTAGAATGAGGCTTGCCTTATAAAATACAACAACATTGCTCTCAAAAGGATATGTCTTGCTTCATGGAAGGGTATGCATGAAAGTCTATGGCTAAAATGTAGAGTAATATGAATGATGAAAGCTAAATGTAAGTGAATTTAACTTCAAATTAATGCTCAATGAGATGGCTCACCAAATTCCTTTGCAGCATTCACAGCCACAACGTTAGCCTCGCCATTAATCTTTCTCATTTGTTCCTCAGTCCCAAAACCTCCAAGGGTTGAAACCACTGCAGTAGCTCCACCGAGTACTTCGTCCCAGTTTACATAAAAAACATCTCCTGCACATTAGGCATAATACTGAAATTTCCTACAGAATTTTTTTTGAAGAAATCACTTGAGAGTTTCTTACATGTGACAACACATTATTTTTTATATATCTCACTATTTGGATTCAATGATATTGTTATGATTTTTATATGCTTACAAATCAGCCTGAATGTTGTAAATATTAAAGGAATAATTGCGTAATTATTGTAGATTTGTAAATATAAAAGGAATAATCATGTTGTAATTATCTGATCAGAGGGAACAATAAGACCTTATTTATCAGATCATACCTGGCCTGTGTATCTTCAGGCTAATATTATATACTCCAACAGTTTCTAAGGTACCGTAAAGAAGATAAGATTGACATTATATTTTATTTGGTCAAATAAGAGTGTACAAATATCTGCAGAAGTATTGAAAGGAAAACGTATTTTGTGGTTGACTAAAGGAAAACGTATTTTATCATAGAGTTAGTACCGCAAATTCATAATAAACAGAATTGAAATGTATTCAAATGGTTAATTCGAACTTCAAAACTGTAAAGCTATGCCCTATGATTGTAACACTCTAGAACTTGATCTGTTTCTCTGTAATGCATGCATTGGTTGAAGTGATAAAGGCATTTTGTTCTTGTTAGCTTATGGCCAAAATAGCCCACATGTATGAATTTTTCCATTGCTAGCCCCTTGAGCCTGAACTTATTTTGTTGATAAATGACCTGTGGCCTGCCATGATTGTTGAACTTGGGTACACATTTTTTTTTTATCAACCAAAGGACACAAGCACAAGCACAAAGTGAAATGCAACAGAGAAATATCTGAAATTCTGAACATAAACACAAGTGAATGATATGGAATGAGTGGCAATGTGTATGTATCTTTACTGGTATTAATAAAGTACTCTTCCCTACAATTGATGTGTATTGGTTTTTATGGTGTTTATTCTCTCCCTGCCCTTTTCCCATCTATGCTTGGCTTCCCTTAACCAATTACAAGAAAAAAAATCATGTATCTGTTTAGAATTAGGTTAAATTAACATGCCTGAAATCCAAGTAACCTGATCTACCCATGCATCCGGGTAAGTTGGACGTCCTGACCTGTAAAACAAAATGTCAGTTAAATCCATAAAAACAATAGACAGAGAGGAAGAGACAGATAAAAAGACAGGTTAGCCAATTAGTTAAACATTTCAATAACCTGCTTAGGCTTATGACTTCTATGCCCTTGGATACTGCTGCCTTGCATATGGCAGAACCAACAAAGCCACTGCCTCCTAAGACTACAATCTACAAAGAAAGACATTTACACAAGAATGGTTTTGCAAAAAATATTCAAAAATGCATAATTTATGAATAATCCCAAATGATTTAAAAACAGTGGGTTGTGTGTACATACCCGTTCACTTTTAACATCAGCCACAACATCTATAGTGGTAGATGTAGAATCGACCCCGACACCTGCTTCTGCATATCTGCAGTTAACTGCAAACCTGCAGAAAAATATATATAAACCATTAGAGGACATGTCATGTATATTTAAATCGAGTCTTGGATCATACAACAGTCAAGAACCGTAAAGCAAAGGAATAACTATCACTACATAGCTGGCAACATGGATCAGTATCTTGATGCAGAGGCCACCTGAGCTTAATGCAAGTAATGTTTGTCACATGCAACACGAAGAATTTTGAGAGCATAGATAATCACAACGAAAAAGTTGGCACACTGCAAGACAAGATAGACTAATTAAGGTCTCATACTAGAGAATGTGGAAGGGAAGTGAAGTAGCCTTTAACAAAAAGTACTTTCCTTACTCAATACCAAATGCTTAATAGTCCAAGCTTAATCATTGGATCTTGTTCAATGAGACAATTTCGATTCTGAAAAAGCTTCACTTGGTTAACCTTTGAAACAAGGTTTGAATATGTCATGGCTTAACCTCTAAGATCCTGAAATCTCACCACTCCATTTCACCATCCAATTCACCCTTAGGTTCCCATTTAAAATAAATACTGTCCTAAACCAAACATCTAAAATCCTTAGACTACACATTAATCATGAAATAATGAAAATCAGAAGCTTAAACTTTTTTCTCTGACCACGTCTGAAATTTTATCTTCCTGTTTCACACTAAAACTCATTGATGATTGTGAACCGTCATCTATCACCGAACAAACAAAGAACCACAGTACACTAATCTCATGGCTCCATGTTCAAAACACTATAAAATAGGAGAAAACATGAAGAATTGAAAGAGGGAGGGAAGCAAATTGAAACCCAAAGAGGCAAAAAAAAAAAAAAAAGTTCAGAGCTTGGGAGAGGGGATTGAATTACCAACCGGTTATTTTTGAAATGCAAGGTGGTTGGAGTTTGAAAGAAAGGTCCTTTGAGAGAGAAGGCACGTGGAATGGGACGAGCGGAAATTGCAGGCAGAGACAAAAACGACGCCATTTTGGTTTGGAGGGGATGAGTTCAGCTCACGCACTTAGCACATGAAGATGAAGTAACTAAAGATGTTGTAGAAGGAAGCACAAAGAAAGAAACTTGAACCATCCACCACGCTAAATTTAAGGGACACATAATTTGTTCCTCCCTTAATTTCCAAAACCACTCGATTTGGCAATTAATTGCCTACTACTCTTCTCCTATTTCTATTGTTTCTCTTCTCCATTTCTTTCCATTTTCTCATCATGATTTTTTTTTGGTAGTTTGATTTTTTATTATAACAATAAGGCTTAAGCTAATTAATTTTATTTTTATTCATTTATTTATTGAATTCATATACCTCCAAAAATGCTAATATTTAACTAATTTGATATCCTAAGGTGTTTCTTATGAAACTAAATGTATAAATTCCATAAATGCATTTATTGATTCAGATGAGACCTATGAAGCACCGACACTTCAAAAATTTTGATGTGTCGTGTCCGACACTTCAACACTTTAATACGCGTTATAAAAATTCAAAAAAAGGTTCAAAGGTTCCATTGCATTGAGTTTTTAGTTCCAACTATTAGATTCGTTGGATTACTATTACAATTTTATTGAGTTTAATATTAATATTTGAGATATCTTATGTTTCTTTACGAAATTGATGAATATTGTAAGTTCAGTTCTATTTTTTTGTTAAATTATTGAATATTAAATATAATATACACTACATAAATTAAAAATATTATTTAATATCAAAAAGTGTCCTAATGTGTCGAAATCTAACATTTTTTAGAATCAACGTGTCGGAATGTCGTGTCGTATCGTGTCACGTGTTCCGTATCAGTATCAGTGCTACGTAGGATAGGACTATTTGGACTGGTTTGATTATAAATTCAATCTAATTGTATGTATATGTACATTCATGGGTTATTCGATTATGTTGATTTAAATATTATCGGATTTATTATAAGAGCGGTTGTCTTGATATTATTTTCTCTATTCTTAAGCCTCCAATCGAGACCTTATTAAGAGAACAAATTATTTATCAACTAATAATTATTATAAAAAAAATTAAGAATATTTTAAGAGAACAAACTATTTATTAATTAAACCAATAATGATTATTTTATTTTATTTTTAATTCAATAGTTTGGTTATGTTCTCGGGCCTAAGCCCAAGACAATTGAGATATCCAATTTTAGCCATATTTGGGCCGAGTCAAAAAAAGGGCCATGTTTGGACTGAACATTGAAACCTCTAAAACCACTGGTATGAAAAGACGATTTTAGGGGTGGAAGAGACGACTTTAGAGGTTATTGAGTTGAACTGAGTTCAAAGGTGGGATTTGAAGGTAGTGTTGGAGGAGAGTGGCGTGAAGGTAGAAGAAGAGGGTTTTGGCTTTGTTGTCTGGTGAGTCACTAAGAGTTTATAGAGAAAATGGCAAGGTCTACCAGCAAGGATGCCCAAGACCTTTTCCGTGCTCTTTGGTCTGCTTATTCCGCAACCCCTACAAATCTCAAGGTCCCTTCTCTCTTTCCCTCTCCGTTTCTCCAAAAATCTTTACTTTTTTCTAACCCCACTTTGATTCTTATTACAGATCATTGATCTGTATGTCGCCTTCGCTGTCTTCACCGCCCTCATCCAGGTACTAGATCTGTGATTTTAACTGTTGTTTAGTGTGATTTCAATCGAAATGTGCACATTCAGGTTCTCATTTGATAATGGGAGGAGTTGTCTAGTTTCATTGCTTAGAAAATGCCGAACGATTTTTCCGTTTAGTGATTGAATATACTACTTTTCATAGGGATCGATGTTAACTTAGTGTATATTTGGTTTAATATATTTTAATTTTCCCTGAATGGAATGGATCTGAGGTTTATGCTGTTATTGGCCATGACATCTGGACATGTAGAAACAAGTTACGTTTCATGGGAAAACCCTTGAATTCAGCGGACCTAGTGTGTGTTTGGATTAGATTATTTTGGAGTTTTTTTTAGCTTCTTGAAAAAATAATAGGCATTTTTTTTTTAAATTAATCCGTAGCAAAACGTGCTGCTAATGTCCAAAGCCCTAGCATCTCTGCATGATTTCTGGGAAGAAAATGATCTCAAGGTTGGACCTCAAGCTTGCTTGAGAGGAGTAGAGGACACATGGAAAAAGAGGTAGGGAAATGGATTCCCCCGAAGAATGGCGGGTACAAGCTAAATGTAGATGCAGTGGAAATACACATCCAAAGCTTGGTTGGGGTGTTGGCACTATTTTTTGAGACCATTATGGGGCCATTGCTGCAGCTTCTTAATGGCAGATCGATGCTTCTTTGAACACTGGACTAGCCGAAGCTCAAGGAATGTGTTTGGGTATTCTGTTAGCCTCTGACCTGTGTATACTGAATTCCTAGAATTTGTACAAGCTGTCAAATCTGATTGACCTAGTAATGGAGAATTGCCTTTCTTTAGGTCAATAACTTCAAGGATGTACCTTCTCCCACACTAAAAGAGACTAGAATAAGCTAGCTCATGCCTTAGCTATTCTAGCAGAACAGATTAGTGATAGAGTGGATTCAGGAAGACCCTCCCAAAAGTTGTAATCTTGCTTTACTGGACATTCTTCCAGTTTCTAGTTTAATGAATTCCCTCGTTTGAAGTTTTAAAAAAATATAAAAAATAAAATAAAAGTTTGTACTCGCAAAATCAATTTCTTGGTGAAGGTTCAAGGTTGGTTAGTGGGTTATATCAAAGTTACTTGCTTTTGTTGAAGCTTACATTCTTATTTTTCTTTTTGAACAGGTAGTTTACATGGCTTTGGTGGGTTCATTTCCATTTAACTCCTTCCTTTCAGGAGTACTTTCTTGCATAGGGACTGCAGTTCTGGCTGGTAAGTGGCGAAGGTCTATTACAATTTGCAGGCTAGCTAGATATGCATGTTTATGTACACACACATATTAATTTCAGTACACTATGAAACTTCTAAGCCTACTAGATATATTTGCATATTTATACGAGACTTCTAGACCTACTGGATACATGAGCATAAAATTTGTTCTTTTCTTTCTTATCATTTGTATCCTCCTTGACCAGTTTGTCTCCGGATCCAAGTGAATAAAGAGAATAAGGAATTCAAGGTAAAAATTCTTTTCTTTTCTATTTTGATTTTTGAATTGCTGTTTGAGTCAAATGGAAACCTGCAATTATTCATGCAAGTTGCGACTTGCAACCCATAATATTTCTAGATTTGCTTTCTTTTTTCATCATATTATATTTCAACAACCTGGCAAAATTGTGTAGTTTCAAAACCTAGATCCTGCATCTTTAACTTGACAAAACAAAGCGGGAAGGATATGATGAAATGAAGTGATTTGTTGTCCGCATGGTGTTTTCTTCACTTGATATGTTCTTACAGATATTTGGTCTTCCATCCTACTGCAGGATCTTGCACCCGAGCGTGCTTTTGCAGATTTTGTTCTCTGCAATTTGGTACTCCATTTGGTGATCATGAACTTCCTTGGTTAAATTGGGTTTGTGTGGCTTTTGTTGTTTCCAAATGAACCCTTGGATAATAAAAATGAATAGTAGTATACCTGGATTTTTGCAATAGTATTTATATATAGTCACTGGCATTTAGACAAATATTTTAGTTTTATGTTGAATCCCACCCCCTCTTTTGGGTCATTGTTTTGAACAAAGAGATAGTAGAAGTTTACTTTGCCAAACTACTCTTTGAATGGTGATTTACACAAGGTGTTCACATGGATAAGTAAATCCGAGTACTACTGTAGTCTTCTTTTTTATAAAAAAAAAAAGAAAAGAATAAATGATCGAACACTGCCTGTCTGCCTCCTCCTTGGTAAAAAGAAATTTATAAATTTTTGTGAGGTTACATTTTCTGACGTGACATAAGACCACAAAATAGAAGGATCCATAAGGGCGAGGATGAAGATGAAAACGAAAAATCAAGTCGCCTGTGGGCGTTTTGCCCGTGTCTCATGAATCAGGTTTTATGATAATATTGCTTTTATTGACCAAACAGATTCGAGAACTCAAGCAGCTTAGAGTTCAACAAAAGGAAGTTAATATTTTATATCCTTCATCAATTCATCTCACTTATTTGCACACCATGGCTTCATTCATTCACTGACTCAATCATTGGCTTCTTCACCCACCATTTCTCTCCCAATGCTGAGATTACTCGTTATGCACTCCAATATGCTCTTCGATGGAGAGGATATCACATATGGATGTCAATCTAGCCTTTCTAGTTATTTATTGTGTAAACCAAGCCCAAAGTGCAAGCTTAAGCCACTGGCTTGTGCAAAACATAAAGTGAACCACTCATTTCTTGTAGCTAATCCTACGTAGTTCGTGTCCACTTATTTCACCTATCTAGTTCGTTTACTACTGCCTCTAATCTCTTGTGAATAAATTTGCTCATAGTTTGTTTGTGAACTAGCTTAATGGATGAGTTTGATCTGAAAATGTTATTTTTATTAATTATGGGTCGTTGGATTTTAATTATGTAAAGGGGAAAAAAATGTTATAAATGACATGAACTAGTTTCCGTTAAACGACTTATAACTAAGAAAAGTGAAAAAGTTTTTTTTTTTTGTATTTTGTCATTTATTTATTTATTTTTCATTTTCCCCCCTCAATCATAATTTAATATAGGCATTCTAATATCTATAATATGAATTTGTTATAACAAATACAAATTGGTGAAAACAAATAGTATTACTCATGGAAAATATATTCTATACGACTTAAAACTAACTAAAATAGCATAAAACCTGCTCAGGTTAGAGAAAGTGCCACTTTCCACGAATCATGTTATATTAACTTTCAAAGGAAATATTTTAAAGCCCTAATTTTAGACCCGTTACCGATTTTTGGACTTGAATTGGATTAGTTGTAAAACAATTAATTAATTGAAATATTTAAAAAAAAAAAACACTGGACAAGAATCCATCCAAAGAGTTAATCATATAGGTTGCTGAAAGGATGTTCTCTAAGTTATATAAACTAACAGGCTATATTTAATTATAAAATAAATTTAATGCTAAAAGTTTAACTTTGTTTTCTTACAAGGCTATAATTTGATTAACAATCCATATATAATAAAATGGAGTCCCACATTTGAATATGAGATAATTATTTATTGGAAAATAGAAGTATAATATTGTAAAAAAGTTGTTAGGTTCTGTTATAGAGATAGAGATTATGAGATGCATATTTTTTTTATTTTTTGAAGTGTAAGTCCCACAATCTCTATCTTTATAACACAATCTAATAATTTTCCTATAACACTATACGTCTTTTTTCCTTATTTATTACAGAAGGGTTATATTGACAAGAAGGGTTATATTGACAATTTTTTTTTTACAAACTTACAAACTATACTATTACTTACTGATAAGACATAGTGTAGTTTGTAAACAAAATTTTTATAAATATAACATTCCCCTAATTATCAAACTCTTTTTTTTTCTTAAGATTCACGGTTGTTTGACTTCTTTCTCCCCAAATTTCAACATAATTGCATTTTTAAAATATTTATTTTTATATTTTATTTATTTCCGATTACACTCTCAAATTAATTTCTTTTTACAGTAATGTTTTTTATTTCTTTCCTAATCTCAGCTCCTAAAGTACACTGTCTTGAAATAACCTGATCTTTTATTTTATTTTCATTTGAAGAATCACACATTTAATTTTTTTATCATTTTCTATTCATTTTTTAAATAATTATGTATTTTTTTTACAATTTAAAGTCTTCTTATAATTTATATTATTTAGATCCTACTTATATCAAATATGCATACATCTCTGATAATATTTTTTTATTTTTGGATTCATATGTTTTTTAAAATTGTCTAATTTAAAAATTCTGTGCCATTTTTGTTAGATTAAAATGTTAATTATAAACTAACAAAGGTGGGAAACAATAATAAATTAACCGTATTTTTAGGAGGAAGGCTATATTTACAAAAAAATTCACTTATAAATTCTTATAATCAAATTTTAACCGTTGATTTTCGTCATTCTGTTATAATTTATTAAAAATTAATAATTAATTAATAAATATATTTCAATAAATTATAACGATAAATATATTTCAATAAATTAGTAGAAATTAATGATTAAGATTTAATTATAAAAGTTTGTAAGCGATAAATATAACCTCCATCTATTTTTATTATTAGTAGGGCTAAAGTCTAAATAATAGAGAAAGCAATTATTACGGGGTATTTTAATCGCGATAATGCTGGTGGATTTTAAACGGTTATTTTTCTTATCTCATTTATTTTTTTATTAATTAGTATATTGTCATTAAATTATTGTGACATTTAAAATGAAATTTATTAACACGAGATATAATAAAATATGCAATGAATGTTTTTCCAGTTAGTAACGATCGTAGTAATTCACTCAAAAGGTTTAAATTCAATTTTCTAAGGAAAAATATTTATTATTTTAAATGACATTTTTATTATTATTTTTAACGAAACTATCGTTTTGGTGTATTTTTGCATTCTCTTTTCTCCACTTTTTCTCTCTCCAAACTTTATAAAAAAATACCAAAAACACATCAAGACAATGTATTTCATTAAAAAAAACACAAAATTATGTTATTTACTAAATGAGAATATAAAATTAATGTCACTCATCGTATTTAGGACGGGCGATAAACTTTAATTGAGTATTGTGAAAAATGAACAAATTTGATTCACGTTAAATACATATTTGAGGAGGGATAATGATTTAATTGTGACTAAGTCAATCTCATATGCGGGTCAAATAGCTTAAGTTTATAGAAATAGGAATTGACTCATGAATATAAAATTAATGCCAGTCATTGTCAACAATAATGGAAGTAAAAACAGAAGAAGAAAAATACTTCGAAAAGGAAAATAAATTATGAGTTTTTTGTTTTTATAATAAAAAATTGGGTTCAATGTTTTTGTTTTGCAGCTGATTTTTTTTTTCTTTCACCCTCATATGCATATAAAAGTAAATGAGTTTCATTAATATTTTTTCTTTCTTTTCTTTACAATGTGATTCATTTATTTTTATATGAATGTGGTAAAAAATATTTTTCTGCAGTAAAAACAGAAATAATTTTCCTAAAAAATAAGAATTTAATGCTTTACAGAAAAAAAGTTTCTGTCACACTTACATAATAGTGAATGATCCAATTATAAAGAGATGAGGAAGAAAAGATCAGCAGATCACTTATTTTTTTGTGAGTGTGATAAAAAAAAATTTCTACAACAAAAATAAAAATATTTTTTTTCCTTTGGAGTAATTAACAAAGATTACAAATGACAGTTAAAATAAGATATGTGAGAAGGTTGTTGATATCACGTGCTCGAGCATTAAAATATTTGTGCATTTTATAGTTTCACACGATTTGAATTATAGTTTCTAAATTGAGTTTACGAAAACATTATTTTTTAACATTTATCTGCTAAAAAGTTAATTTGTAATAAAAAAGATTAGATTTAAATACTTCTATAAGAAATAGATTTAGTCGTAGAGCCAGTAATTGTTTTACGTGAAATATAACGTAATGACATAAATTATGTTTGAGTTATATTTTTTTTACTTACTTAGATTACCATGCGTTTTCCATTTTCAAATTTAATATTTATAATAATATATTTGTTATTAATTTTAATAAAAGCTTATAATTAAAATATTTGAAAATATTTTTTAAAAAATTTAAGGAAGTTCACGAATATCAATTTAAGGAAAAAAGAAGAAGATAAAAATAGAGACTTACGGTACGGGATTCTAATGAAAGAGCAGCGAATGCGATTGGTGTCACGTAATAATAATATTAGAGCCTCTTTGTATTCCCTTATTTTTAAGCTAGAAGTTACTTATAAACTAAAGTTAAAAAAAAAAAAAAGCTAAAAACTGTTTGGAAATTATATTAAAGTTTTAGCTTAAAAATTACTTAAAAACACATATTTTAAGAAAATTATCTCTCTCTATCTTTATCACTTTTTATTTTAAATAAAAGCACACAATTCAAGAAAAACAGATAAGAGCTTAAAAAAAAGCTCCTCTTAAGAGTTTTTAGTTTTCAACTTTTTTCTTCGTTATAAAAAAAGAGTTTTTCGTTATAAGAGTTTTTCCCAAAAACTGTTTGGCCTAACTTATGCTTATAAGTATCTTCTAACTTAAAAAAAGAGGATCCAAACAAGCACCTAATTTTGAAATTATATGTTGCTTAGAAAGAAGGGAAAAGGGAAAGAGCTTTATCCGTTCATGGATGGGCACCGTTGGACGCGATCCACGTGTCCGAACGTCATTTTCCGTTCAACTATTGGCTCCCACAGTGGCATGTGGGTCTAACTCAGACGAAAAGCACGTGCGCCCGCCAATCCCACCCTCGCACTCTCTCTCTCTCTCTCTCTTTGGGTCTTTGAACAGTGAGAGCATGACCGGTTCTTTCGCTCAGTGTGTGGTGCACGCCAACCCTTCTCTTCGCATCACAAACAAGACTATGTTTATCCTCTCCACACCGCCAACCACATTCTTCGCTACTCCTAGGGTTCCGTTCTCTTCTTCAAAGCCTTCTTGCTCTTTCATTTCTCTGCGATCCACATTTTCTGCTTGTTCTTGTTCTTGTTCTTGTTCCCTCACACTCAAGCTTCAAGCCAAGGAGAACGTTGCCTCTCCTAAACACTATCCCCCTAACATGGCTTCCTCCGTCTCTTCTTCCCGCACTTTCCTCACTGCTAAAAACGAACAAGGTTTGCTTTCCGCTTTTCCTTTTCAGCCTTTCCTCGATTTCTGGCTTTCTTTCTTTTCTTTCTTCTTCTTCTTTTTTAAATGTCGAGTTGTAATGAATAAAAAAATCATGATTATGAAGCTTTGAAGCTCACCTGATGAGACTGCGAGCTTTTTTTTCTTTATTTATTTCCGTTTTCGTGTTTTGAGTTAGAGATTGAAGTTTGGTTCTGCTGATGGTACTGTTAGTTAGAGATATTTAATAAACACAGTTTATAGTCCTGATTGTTAGATATGTTCTGACCAGTTAGTTATAAATTTCAAGTGCATCAGTTTACGAACTGCTTCTTTTTCCCAAGATAAAATTACTATGCTCCATTTAAGAAGTTAATCATTTTCTTTTATTTCTGTTTTACTTATCCGAATCCTGAACATTGATTTTCCTTTATCATGTTACTTGTTTATTTGCAGAGCTTCTTTCTGGAATCAAGAAGGAAGTACAAGCTGGATCTATACCTCCTAGTGTTGCTGCTGGGATGGAAGAAGTGTACAATTACTATAAAGATGCTGTAAGTTTATATTTATATGTCTCTTCCACATGCCTTGCTGATGTAAGCATTTAAATTGATTCATACTTTGGAATAGCAATACTTTTTATAAATTACTCTTTAAGAAGTAAACCAATAATACATGTTTCTTTACAGCTAAATTATTCCTAATATATGAGGGAGCAGATATTACTTCACTCACGATTCATTTTGGAACCTGAACTCCCAAAATAATGTGGTTTAAGTATGAGAAAGTAGTCATGTCTATCATCACTATTATATCTATTCTTGTTCATTTGCTTCATGCATTGGCGCATAATTGATTATCATATAATTATTAATGTCTGGTACTCTTTCTATTGCTGTGTTGATAATGGCTTAATATGTTGTTTGTAACATATTGATAGCAAAACGTAGATCTATTCCAATGTCAAATCATGCTTCTAGCTCTCCCCCCTGTCTCTCTCTGGTTGTCTAAAACTTGGACACGTTGATTTTATTAATGCGTTAACTGATGATGTTATTTGAATTGTCACATCACAAATATGTTTGAGCTTTTACATTCCATAAATTTTTATTTTTATTTTTATTTTTTTGATGCTTTACTTGACACCTTGATTATACCAATTTCCCAATTGGCTTAGCGTGGATATTCTTTATGATAATTGAAACGGTTTAGTTAGCTTGTATTATATAGTCCTACAACATAATATACTAATTCATCCTTTTATCATTCTGGCATTTAAAAAACTTAAATGACCTAAGATGCATTTTTTTTGTGTGCATGAAATCACATTTCAGGTTATCAAAAGTGGAGATCCCAAGGCAAATGAGACTGTACTGTCAAATATGACCGTTTTCTTAGATCGCGTATATTTGGATGTGACGGTAAGACTGAATTCTAGGATATTATGTTGTTCTGATATTGTTTCTGTTAGAGATGTTGATATAAAATCATTCATGTGCTGTTACCCTAAAGTTTAAGTTGTTAAGTGAAGACATGTGAATGATTTTATATTAACATCTCTATCAGTTTTCATGCCCATGAATTCTTTTATTTAAGAATTCTTCATAGTGTCTTTCATCTATGGAAATTTAGTTTGCTGTTGTTTCATGTTCCACAAATGTCATGCTCAAAACACGAGATTGATTTTTAACAGGATCCTTTTGTCTTTAAACCACACCACAAAGCAAAGAGAGAGCCTTTTGACTACTACATGTTTGGTCAAAATTATATCCGTCCTTTAGTTGATTTCAAGTGAGTTTACAAGCTGTCGTTTCTCCTCGTTCTTCTGCTTAGCATTGATCAATTTGGTTTACTTGTTTGATTTTTATTGTTAATCATCTATATGTGCGGTTAGTCAAATTTTCATGCATGAACATTATACCCCTGACAAAGGCATTTATATTTTTAATAAATTTATTACTACAATTAGCTAAGATACGTGTAAGTTGTGATTGAAGGATTTGTGTTGTGAAATATAAGAGACACACGCATGGATTGTCCATAACCCAAAGGGTTAGGTTTTGAGGGGAAGTTAACATGCAATGTGCATATAGAGGCCTTACTTGGACTTGGAAGTCTCTACATGTTTAATATATGCTGTTGAAGCTAATGGTTCTATGGGGGATGACTATCAATGCAATTGTGATGATTACTATGTTTATTCCCATGGTGTACAAATACAATGTACTTGAGAATAAGGCATATCCTGTATAAATCCTGTGGTTACTACCTGCCGATAGTTAATTAAGCCCCTTGATCTCTGACTTTTTTGCTTTGGGGTTAGTGAAATCCCATCCTGCATCATGATGTAGGTTAGACCGTTAGACAACTAACATTTAGACCTAAGGAGGAAATTTCTAGAGCAGAAAATGGGCAAATGTATACATGTAAACTAAGTTAATAGTCTCATTGCTAAAGTTTACTGGTGAATCTTGTAAGCTGAACGCTCTCTATGGTTTGTGGAGTGTCGGAGACAGAGTTATTCCAGATGCCATCTTTCTTGGATTTACATGTAAATACCTTGAACAGTGAGGGGTTTTAGATTAATTGTGTTTAGTGTTCTTGTTGGTGTCTGCTGCCAAACTATAGAGTAAGAATGCTGAAGTTTTCAATGTCTACCAATTTCTAGAAAAATCTGCATATGTTAATGGACAAACTTGTCTACTTGCTTTCTTATCTTAATACAAATGTGTCTATGACACCTGGGTGTACTTATGTATTACATTAGTTGGAAGTTGCTCATGGTTAACCACAGGACAGAAATGGAAAAATAAGACTAACAAATCTATTACCTCACCGAGGTCATGCCTTTGCAGCATTTTGTTAAACATACATCTTACTGGGTTTCCTTCTCACTCTTCTATGAGCCCTCAAAACGGAAATCTGTTATGAATGTGGACAAGATGGCACTTGTTCAGCTGTTACTCCCTACTTATGATTTTACATGTGGTTTTACCTGTAGTTAGCTTGATCTTTCCTAGTTGTATTTGTATCTAAAGAAGGCAGATCTCTTGGTTTTGAATGAATTCGTTGTTCGCTTTTATGCATATGCTGAAGTATAAGGTTTGGAACCGTGTTGATTACTTCAGAAGTAGGCTTTGGTGTTTCACTTCCAGAAGTATAATCATGGAATGTAGCAATGTGTATACCCCATTCTTAAATCTTTGGGGCTCATTTATAATCAGCTTGTATCAAAACAATGTCCATTCCATCTGGCTGCGCCTCATAGCTATTCTTAAATTTGATATTTTTGTTTTTTGTCGCAGAAATTCTTATGTTGGCAACATGTCCCTCTTCATTGAAATGGAAGAGAAACTTAAGCAGGTGCCACTTTCTAATATGCTTTATATTGTAGGGTTATATGTGTGCTTGTAAAATATTGGTAGAATTTGTAAATAACCTTTTTCTCACCAAGTAGGATAATAGAAAGTCTAATATTCCTCCTTTGCGGTGCCTACCTTAACCAAATTCTAAGGTTGGTATCTATGTTATCTTAACCAGTTTAAGTCTGCCTTGCTACTATTTTAATATGCTACCATGCAGATTATGACACATGAGCTTTTTAGATATGGATCGTGGTGATTAACCCAAATCATGTGACTGTTTTGATTGTTTTCACTTTTCCATTGCTCTTCAGATCAGTTTCATTATGATTGTATGAACTGGTCTTAATTATGTGTCAGCATTACTAATACACCAAAAATCGAAAAAACCATCTTTTCTTCCTGTCACAAATGTGATTGGAATTTGTCTATTTAGATGCTAGTTGATGTTTCTGATGCTGTTGTTGTATATATCTAAACTTTCCCAGTAACTACTACTTATTACTGATTCTTTTGTATGATAAATAGAACATGGGAAAGAATTATCCACTACCTTTCATGAATTTTCAATCTTGATTGTGATATGTTGTTGTGGATATTTGCCCTATTAACATTTTCATAGATATGGGAGAAAATTCTAAAAGATTGAAAAAATTACTGCAGAAACACAATATCATCTTGATGTCAAATCACCAAACTGAAGCAGATCCAGCTATTATTGCACTGCTGCTTGAAAAGCAGCTCCCAAATATTGCTGAAAACTTGGTAAAGTTTGCATTTTCACTGTGGCTATTTTAAAGCATAGACTGTACAGCACATTTAAAACGATGAAGTAATTGAATCATGCATTTTGTTCTGCAGACCTACGTTGCAGGAGATAGAGTCATAACTGACCCTCTATGCAAGCCCTTCAGTATTGGCAGGTTCATTTTATACTTTTGTTTATTAAATTTGAAATTTATGCTGATATATCTCCTTTTGATGAAAGAAGTTGACTTTGGAGACTATTTACTTGAAATTTTTGTTTTTATAGGAATCTCATTTGTGTCTACTCTAAAAAGCACATGCTTGATGATCCGAAACTTATAGACATGAAAAGACAAGCAAATACACGAAGTCTGAAGGAAATGGCTTTGCTTTTAAGGTATATCTACTAGTGTATAGCTAATTGACTCTTTTCTTTATTGATTCCATTTCAGACAGTAGTGCATCAACTGAAGTGCATGTTTTCTAGAAATCTGTAAACATAGAAATTAGAATCTAAACTTCAAACGGAAGAGCAAGTAATAGCAGTGGGTATGTTCACTTTAGATAGTACATTTTGTATGTAATGGTTATTGATTGGTCAAATGTCCATTATCTTGTTCTTCCGCTGTTAATAAACTGCCTTTTGGTACACAGGAGTGGATCGCAGGTAATCTGGATTGCCCCAAGTGGTGGCAGGGATCGAGCAGATCCCCAAACCGGAGAATGGGTGCCGGTAAGTTCATTTTCTTGTTAGAATAAAATATAAAAGTGCATTATAGTTTCAGTTTAATCAAACTTGTTACATCTTAGATCTGTCATATATGGAAATATTACTTTTAACGTTGACTAGGTAGAAGAAAAAGTGATTGGTATTGGCACTGAGCCGGAATCTTTTATACTTATGGAAGGGTACTTTAACTCTTGTTCCTTTTGGTTATCTCCTTTATATGCTTATAGAAAGGTAGGAATTAGCATGTTTAGAAGCATACATGATGGAAGCCATATGTTTTTGGTTGATTTTTGTTGTTGTTTGTTGTGCTTTGGTGAGGAGAGAGGGAGAGAGGGGGGGGGGGGGGGGGGGGATATTGACCTGAAATGGAGTCTTGCTTTGCCTCAAATATTGAGTTCTGGCTGCACCATTTTGTTATTTAGTTGTGTTAGAATTGAAAACCCAACTACAAACTTTTATTACCTTTATAACTTGTGATTTGCTTGTCATCAAAACAGATTCCTGATAATGATATTCCATGTTTATTGGGTTTTCTTTATTCTCTCCTAGCTGTGATTTATGTTAATTCTTGTTTTCTTTATAAATCTAATGTTTTATGTTGTGAATCGGTCTATTATGTATCAGTGTAAATTATTGTTCGAACAATTCTTTTCTTGTATACTTTGCTACAGTTGTACAAAATGATGAACATTGAGACTTGTGTCAGAATATCAAATGTTGTAAATAAACAACTGCGCATGACTTCCTTAGTGTATTGCATTACCAATTTTGTGATCTTTCCATACTGATATAAGGCATTCAGGCACCCTTTGATACTGCTTCAGTAGATAATATGCGAAGGCTTGTTGAAAATTCTGGTCCACCAGGTCATGTATATCCTTTGGCAATATTGTGCCACGATATAATGCCCCCTCCACAAAAGGTATGGTGTTATTGTCTTGGAGAGTCCGCCCTGATTTTGTTTTTTCATTTTCTTATTAAGACCATGCAATTTTGTAGGTTGAAAAAGAAATTGGGGAGAAAAGAGTTATATCCTTTCACGGGACTGGCTTATCAGTGGCTCCAGAGATAAGTTTTGCTGCACCCGCTGCTGCTGGTGAAAGTCCTGAAAAGGTTAGTTAAATTTAATCACCTGAACTTCCACTTCCTTAGTTAATTAAATTTCTTATTTTGTCATTGAATTTACAATTTCCTTCTGAGAAGTCACTTATTGTCATTTTGTTATAAGGGAACTGAGAAGACGTGACTACTTAAGAATGTGTGACGCAAGATGACACCATATATAACCACTATAAAGTACCGAGTGGCATTTTGTTTTTGTTATTGTTGATGCTGCTCGCATAAATTCCTGTGAAACTTTAGGCTTATAAGGGGGGCCGGAGCCTCCCCTATATGAGTGTGCCTTTTGAATGACAGAACTGAAATGCCACCCTTTGGTGAAACTCACACTTTTGCTGGTGCATTCTGCGATGTACAAGTACTAATATTTGCAGGTTACAGAAATTGAGTATGGTTTCTAGTAATGTGACGAGTAACAACGCTGAAGCTAAATTATCTATTTAAGTAAAACCAGTATTCTGTATCCTTGGGTTCTCAGCTTCAATTTACTGTTTTAACGTGAAAAATAGACAAAGCGATTTGATACATGATTTTCATTATCTGGAAGATTCTTTTACTTCTTTAATTTGATTGGTGTGCTCTGGATTTTACATGGAGAAGGCTAAGGAGGCATATACAAAAGCCGCGTACGATTCTGTGACTGAGCAATATAATGTGCTGAAATCTGCCATACACGGCAAAAAAGGATTAGAAGCATCAACTCCTAAAGTTTCTTTGTCACAGCCATGGAAGTAGTTCAAACCTGAATCTTCTTCGTTACCCTTTCCTCTGATGATCAGGTACAATTCTAACTTCAGAATTTAGAAAACTGTGATTGTATTACTATACATCATATGGGTTAGAATTGGAATCCTTTCTCATTGTTGGGATCAAATATTCTTAAAATTACCTGAGTACACGATTTCTGTAGTACTGTTGTCGTTGATGGTATAGAGATAATTACTTTAAGCAACTAGGAATTTATTGCGTAATGTGTTTATGTTAGTTTTTAATTTCTGCCTTCTGGTGGTTAATATGGCTCTCTTGCCCTTAAAACATTTCTTTAAGGCTGTAAGAATCTGAAATATAAAGAACTGAAATGCTTAGACAAAATATTATACCATCAATTTTTCTAGGCTAAGATACTATTTAGTTAACTTGTTTACCATATCCTAACTGATACTGATCTAAATTTTGGATGGTCTTGTCTTATGAATTAGGATAAACAATATAGAGAGGAAGTAAATGGAAGCTCCAAAGGGCTTGTTTGAAATCTGTTTTAGAAAACAGTTTTTTGATTTTCAGAACAATAAAACAAAAAATTCCATTTGGTAAGTCCTGTTTTGTAAAAAAAAAATTAAATACTGTAACTATTTTTGTTTTTAGATTCAAATTTAGAGAACATATCTGTTTTTGTTTTTAACTTTCAAAACAAAAAAAAGCATAAAAAACACTTGTTTCCATAGCTATTCTACAAAACAGTTTTAAGAACAAAAAAATCAGAACACAATCAAACAAGCCCAAAAATGTCTTTACTTAAACTGTGAAATTATAAATTAACGTACTATATCCCACTGACTTATTTTCATGTCTGGAGACTCCAACAGCTTTTTGTCCCTTTTAGAAGCAAATTAGAAGACGTCAATCAAACAATTTCAGCTGATTCACTTCAGAGGGACTGCCTATTACTTCACCAAATGATTAGCTTGATGGAAGTTTGCAGTAAAATATATATTTTTTTTCACTTTTCTTTTTGTGCATGCCATTATCAGAGTTAAATTCATCAAGAATCTGTTTCAGAAGGTTCAAATTCAGCTGCTTACTGTACAGATCCCTCTTAGTTCCTTGTCAGGTCCGGTCCATTGACTGATAAGATACTAAATATAATTTTCTTACCTACAATTTTGTGTATCAGATTCTGTTTTAGCTAGCTTAATAGATAAAAGCTAATTACTTCCATTTGTAATTTTAAGTCAAATTCGTTACATTATAGATGTGAATAGTTGTTAATAGTAGAACCTGTTCAGAATCAAATTGTTTAGACGACGCCAGTGCATAAAACTGGTCCAAATGCAAATGGAAGGTTATTCATGTTGACAAAATAAAAGCAATGGAGGAACTTTGTTATTTTCAATTTTATCTTTCTTTTTTTTGGTACAGTGTATCTTTATTTACTCTGGTGCTAGCTATACGCTATTTGGAACTCTCGGTGTCTGAAGCAATATGCCGGAGACGGTGGCAAACGTAGATATTTTATTTTGTTTCCAATATATAAAAATTGAACTTATGATCTCTTCCTAAATAAATATTAAAAGCTATCTTTAAGGGGGGTATTTTAAAGAATATGTTTGGGCTACTAGTATAATAAAGTGACTCTTGATCTTAATACATCATTTCTTCACTTTTTGATAGCTAGCGTGGCATCCTTTTGTATCTCGGTGGTTCGCCCTTGATTCTGCAGTTTTCATTGTGTACAAGAGATAGCAAAATACCAATCATTTAAAATAAAAATGACCAAGTGATATCAAAATGCCAATCCTGCTAAACAGGGTGTGAAATTGAAGGGTTGCTGGTAAACGACAACGCAAGTAAACTTAGTCCTATATTGCCCTTACAAAGCTGCTGCTATGCAAACATTTGCTGCTCGTTGTCTAGGCTCTTGGACCTCAAGAATCTGCTTGATTCAAGCGTCTTGTGGTGGGAATGCGTAGGGTTTTCTTTTTGAGTTTCGTCGATAGTCGAAGACTAATCATTTTGAGGCATAGAGATCAAGACTAATCATTTTAAGGCATAGAGATCATCGAAATGGATTTTGACTTTGCCAATGAAGCTTTTCTATATATACGGCCAGGAATCAAACCCTTATTAGCATGTTTAAGATACTCAGTTACATACCAACTGTTTCGGGTTTTGTTGTGTGCAACATATTAACCATTGAATTTTATAATTTTAACTTATGTTTTAAATGATTAATGTGTTATAACACACAGAATTCATTATGAACTCGAATCCAAAGCAACAGATTGTTCTCTACTTCCTTATTCTTGGGTTTTAAGTGTCTTGTTCAATTAAGAAGGAACAGGGTGTGGGTAGTTTTCCTTTAACCTGAAGTACTTAACTTTAGGTTTAGATAGATGAAGGTTGAGAAATGTTTATTGGAAATCCTTATAAGCTAAAAATTCAACATATAATAAAAATAATAATCTTAAGCAGTTGTTTAGGAACTGGGTTATGTATTGTAGTTGAATCAAGATAATTCCTAATTGCAATTCTTTCTTCACTTGTTTTTTTTTTTTTGGGGGGGGGTAATATTTGTGTTTTAATTCTCATAGTTCTAATTTTATAATTGTCTCTCATTAAACCCTAAAAATCAATTTATCCTCTTTCACTCACCTATATTTTTCTTTATGTGTTCTACCTTCCATTAAATTCTTCCTGTCATTTTTACTTAATCTTTCTATTTATGTGTCCTGGGAATGGATCCCCCACATGTCCCTTTTCAAATTTTGGCCAAGTCTGAATAACAGTGATTTTACTATGTGTGATAAATGGTAATACCCTCAGTGCCCCACAGCTGCAACTAAGATTTAAAATACTTGGAACCCGGCCCCAGAATGCTCAATCTGGTCAATTTCTTTCTTCTTTGCTTCTGCTTCTTGTTTCCTATGCGAAGTACAAGAAATGGCCAAGTGGCAAGGGCCACCACCCCACTGTTATATTGTGTTTTTGTGTTCGTTTTGTATTTTCTACCCTGCACAGCAAGATTAGCCTAATATCAACATATGTTAAAACATATAAAAGGATAAAATCATTAATTTTTTTTTATCTTATAGTTTAAGCTTTTAAGAAAGTTGAGTAAATATAGGAATTTGTACGATCAAGTGACTTAAAGTTTGATCCTTATTATAAAGTTAAATTTTAGCCCAATGTAAGGTACTTCATTTTAAATTAAAAAAATTAACTCAAAGTAATATATAAATATGTGTATTGTTCATGCTTGGAAGCCCAATGTGTTATTACGTTAAGTTTCAAGAAAACATAACTGCAACTCTGGTCTGGTCCCACATTGAATTGTAGGTAGTAGCGTTACGACACTGCTTAATTGAAATGAAGTTTAGGACGATGTGCTTTGAAAAACACTAATGAGTAGATTAAGGTTGCATGCACGAGGGTCCCGAATAATGTCACATTCACATGAAGTGAAAAATTAGTATTTTATTAACTCACGGTGACCGATGAGTCGCCAAATCTTGCCGAGGAGCGTGCATGTTCCTTCGACTTCGAGGAGCCAATGGAGCTTGTAACCAAAGCATATATAAGAGACAAAATTGTAATAAATATAATCAACATGCATAAGACCCATATATAAATACGTGCAAACTAAATTATATAAGATTGAAGATTGATTAGTGAAATAATTACTGCTTTTCTTCCAATAAAATTGTGATGTGACTTAATATAATGAATACTTAGTCATACATATAATTATCTGTGAATTATTTTTAACTTTTGAAGGTTATTTAGACAATAAGAGTTATTGTTCAGCCCAAAACTGCGAAAGCAAATTATTTTTTATTGATAATTAGGTTTTTTGTGATTTTTAAAACTTATCAGTACTTCTAAAAAATTAAGATGACAATGGCATACGCGTAGTTTTTTGGTTAGAGGTCGTTGGTATCTAACAATTATTTTGAATCATGATTAATCAAGTTCTGTACTTCTGTTAGTGGAACCAACACCTGGTAATAATTAAGATGAGTAATTGATGTAATATGTTTTAAAATCAAAATATTAAAATATGATGAACATTTAAGCCAAATAGAAAAGGTGCATATATCATTTAAGAACATTTAATAAAAAAACGAGTCAAGCAGCCAAATAATTAGTTTAGGGCGCGCATATACTATATTTTTTAAAAAAAAAATATAAGTATATAGCGCACATCATTGATTAAGAAATATAAAGGAATGTCAAAAGCGTATAAATTTATTATGCATGCTCTAGTCTTGCTTTTACCGAACTAAAGGACAAGATAAAAATAATGGCGGAAGGGTAATTTGTTTAAGGATTTTATTAATCTCATATTATAGGAGAATAATTATCTTCTACTATAGACACAATTATAGATGAGCCTTATTTATTTATAAAAAATAGAAAAAATAAAAATTAAGTTATGTAGAAATTAATAAATATGTAGAAAAAAGCTACTTTTCAACAATATGAGAATAATTTTTCCTTTTGTTTAATATGTAGTGAAAAAGAAGAAAATCTGTTTTTTCGTCGCCGAGACCTGAACCCGGATTTTGTTTGATCCTGAGCATAATTATTCGCCTCTGTACAAAAAAAGAGAACACAATTATTTGCCCTAAACGATGTAATTGCTATAACTTGTCAATTGTGCTACAGCCATTGTCGATTTCTTTTATAAAAAAGTATATTGGTCGGTCCTTAAAAGAAGCCATTTTTGGATTTGGACTATATAGCCTATGTAGCCAGTATAAGTGAACCTTATTGAAAACGAAGAACATTAATATATATGATATAGAGAGAGAGAGATAGAGTCACCCAAAAATGTCAAAAAGGGAAGGAAGAACTTGACAATAAAAAAAAAAAAAAAAAAAAAAAAAACAAGTGTAATCTAATGGTGGAGTCATAAGATTGTATGAGAAGGTACCAGGAATACAAAATTTAAATAACTTATATTTAGCAACTCAATAACCAATCTATAAGTAACTAGATCTAAAGAATTCTTCAAAAAAAATTCATACATGATAAATAATAAGCATGATGAAGAGGGGTGAATTTATATCATAATTTTTCTTTCAAATTTGAATATAGTTTAAGATAAAAATATAATAAATTTGTGGGGAGCAATCAGCCCTCTTAACTTCTCCCTGACTCTATCGTTGTGAGCCAAAATTAGAACTTAAAATAAAATTATAGTGAATATAAACTAGTTTACTTGACTTTTGGAAGATTAATTAGCAGAGCAGAGCAAAAAAAAAAAAAAAAAAAGAGGAAATTAAAAGTAAGAGGTTTTTTATTTTCATACCACTTTACGTTTTTTTTTTTAAAGTAATTCATGAAAAATTAAAATATATATTATTAATTGATAAATTAAAAGATATGGGAATAATAAAATATAAATACTAGGGACTAGGGATTCTTGTTTTTGGTTTATCCAAAATTGATCTAGAAATATTCCCATCGCCACACGTGGAAGAACAGGAGTGGGAGACGGTGACAGGTAGGGACACTTGAACCGTGAGATTACAATATCTGAGGAATGAGACTGTTGAGCTGTCACCATTGAAGGATATCTTAGATTTATGCGGAAACAGTTTAGGACCTAGTACATTGGTATGCTTACTGAATCATCCTTGTTTCACAATTACCTCTCGGTGCGCAGGTCTCGTGTAGAATCTACCCTTGTAGGATTTCTCTTCACGAACAGCTCACCTCAGCGCCGCAGCACGAACAACCTCCTTGAAGCTGGACTGTGGCAGATCTTCCAAACTATCTCTCGAGGAGGAAGGGGAAGTGTGTGGGCACTGATTAGATTCTGATCTTGCCTCTTTCTCACAAAAAAGACCTAGGAGGCTGATGACTTAAGAGGTACTATTTATATGGGTTCCAAGAAACCCTAGCTCATTGGGCTCTAGGTTCCTTGGGCTCTTCTCATACTAATAACCCATTTGGGCTTTAGTAAAAGAGCAAACCCAACAATCTCCCACTTGCTCTTTTGGATACAAACTTGAGTCGTAAAACCCAAGATCATGTAACCCATAAGTCATCATCTATCCGAAAAATACCCCATCCCTTGTCTCAAGCTAGCTTGGGGATCTACCATCTGTTATTAATCAAGGCTCCTGATAATCAACGAATGATTATCTAATTCGGTGCTACTCCACTAAAAGCCCGAACTTGAACTCCAAGATTAACAACACTTATAACATGAATATGCATCGCCCCTTTGTAGAATGTCTATAATTGATTGACAAGTTTTCTGTAACTCAATCAATTATTTATTCCCTTGACTATGATAGTTTCTCTAATGGATTACATGCACTGGCCAGTGTCTTTAATATCCAAGTACCAAAACATATCAAG